CCACTCGGCCGGCCCTCCCCTTCTCTGTTGCTCCTTCTACCTGTTCCCCTTCCATATACCCACACAGTTTGACTTTTTGTCTGTTAACCACTTTAATTACCTGATGGATCTGTTTGTGTTTTAGTGGCTTAAAGATACAATTAACACAACTGACATCGTCTGTACCATAACAACTCTTTTCTTTCCTCCCAACAGGTGACAGAGCTGAATGAGCCGCTGTCCAATGAAGAAAGAAACCTTCTTTCTGTGGCCTACAAGAATGTAGTTGGGGCCCGCCGTTCTTCCTGGAGGGTCATTAGTAGCATTGAGCAGAAGACCTCTGCAGATGGTAATGAGAAGAAGATAGAGATGGTCCGTGCTTACCGTGAGAAAATAGAGAAGGAGTTGGAAGCGGTGTGTCAGGATGTGCTGAGCCTGCTGGATAACTACCTGATTAAGAATTGCAGTGAGACCCAGTACGAGAGCAAAGTGTTCTACCTGAAGATGAAAGGGGACTATTATCGCTACCTGGCGGAAGTGGCCACTGGAGAGAAGAGGGCGACTGTCGTGGAGTCGTCTGAGAAGGCCTACAGCGAAGCCCATGAGATCAGCAAGGAGCACATGCAGCCCACCCACCCCATCCGATTAGGCCTGGCTCTCAACTACTCCGTTTTCTACTATGAGATCCAGAACGCGCCCGAGCAAGCGTGCCACTTGGCCAAGACCGCCTTTGACGACGCCATCGCTGAGCTCGACACTCTGAACGAGGACTCCTACAAGGACTCCACTCTCATCATGCAGCTCCTCCGCGACAACCTAACGCTCTGGACAAGCGATCAGCAAGACGACGACGGCGGAGAAGGCAACAATTAAGGCCCAGGTGGACTGGGAGCGCACGCCGACGCTACTACTGCAGTCTTTATTTTTTTCCCATGAGTCGGGGGTCGGGTGGGGGAGGGAAAGGGAGGGGTGACCTTCCTAGGGAGAAACCCACGACCTGTCCTGTCTTTGATCGCCTCTTTGACATTTTTGCCAAAATACCACTAGTGGAAAGTCAGGCTATCTGTGCTGGTATTGGAGTAGCAGTCTCACACCGGCATATGGACTGTTCTGTAGATTAATGCAAGTGGAGCTGTCTTTAATTTAACTTATTGCTAGATAATAGGGTTTGAAGGTGAAAGGAAAACTTCAGTGGGATGGCCCTCATTCAATAAGTTCTGTGGTTCCAGTAAGGAGTTTTATGTACATATGCTCTTGTCTTAAGTTTTGGGTACTTTCTATCTCATCTGTTTTAGCTGTGCATTTTTTTCAGGGTGTACTTTACCAGACATGGAATAGTTTAAATCCCAAACTGACAGACTTAGGACATAAGGTATATTTATGCTTATGGTTTAGGCCTTGCTAGTTTTCTGAAGTCTCCAATTAGTTGACAGTATTAACACTAAATTGCAGTTTACAGTATTTCTACATTACAGCCATATGTGACATCAAGCCATTGTGCGTTTTCCTTTGCTAGTTATTTTGGCTTTACATCCGTATTCAGCCTTATTTATCCAGGTTGGTTTTCTCCTAGGCCAGAGGCTTGCCTGAGGAGCGTCAAAGCTACTTTAGGTTTTGGTTAATAGGTGCTTGGCAGGTGGCTGTGGGATTTTTGTGTCTTTCCTTTTAACTTAAATCCACCACAAAAAAATCACTTTAATAGAAACGTTAAACACCACAAAAATAGAGAAAATTCAGGTCTGTATGTCATTTACCGTGTTGATATTTTCAGAGAAATCCTGATTTGTAAGCTGCCACAGCTCATTCCTCAGGGGTTATGCTGCCACCTCACTCTGCACTTGAGTCTTCTCCACTGTACCTTACGTGAATGCCACTCAGTCGGGTTGTAGAAGCTGGGTGGTCATTTTGAGGTTTGTGGTGCAGTGTATGAAAATGCAGGTGCTAGAAGCTTACTGGTAGAAGAATCCAAAAGGAAGAGCTCTTCATAAACATTCTGTCTTGATTTTGGGAGCCTTGTAAGTGTGTCAGTTTTTCCTCCTGAAAACACTCTTTCCCCCAAGAAATTGTTATGAGAAAACAAATTAAAATCATCATCAGGTAATAAATACTTAACTCCTATTTGACCAAAACTTTTTCTATGTATTTTGTTCTTTTTAATGAAAGTATAGAAATCAGAGATTCATTTCTCTTGTGTAATCAGTGCATGTTTCAGAATGGAAGGAAACCACATTGCTATTTCCACAGATTTTTCAGTTAGCCTTAGGCCCTTCATTCTCATTTCGGATAAATGTCTGAAAACACAGTGTGTTGCATGTGTGTTCATTCAGCCTTTTGTATAAGATCATTAACAGTGTGAACTCCAGAGATAGGTAATGACACTTAGACTTGTTTTGTTTGTTTTATTTAGGCAAGAAGAGTAGGTAATAATTGAGGAAAAACTGACACTTGCTTTAGCTAATACCAAAATTGAGCTTACAGTTACGACATGAATACATTTAACAGGATCCAGGTGACAGTGAAGATAGAATGGTGATGGTATCTGTAACATTGCAGTCTACCCAGCATGGCTTTCCTCCCTATGCTAGAGCGAAAGTCCCCATTAACTGAATCCTACCGGAAGAACTAATAGAAGAAAGCTTTATAGCTTTTGTGTCCTTACAGGGCCCTAAAGTCAATGCCAGGGATGGGAAAGGATTGGGGGGGNAGGAGCGTATGCTCTATCCACTGAGCCATCCGGGCGGCAGCTCAGCTCAAGGTGCCAAGTTTAGTCCCAGCTGTGGAAGGGCGTAGCCCACCATCGAACAGGCAATCTTGTCATTAGGAGCAGGTGCTCTCACCAGCTGAGCCATCCTGCCACCTGTTGGCAGCTCAGCTCAGGCAAAGCTCACTGGCCCATGTGGGAATCGAACCAGCAACCCTGTTGTTCAGAGCTTGTGCTCTTAAGCAAACTCTTAGCCAACTGAGCCACTCGGCCGGCCCCCTCGAGCTACATTTTTAATGGGTTGTCAAGTAAAAGTGCAGAGAGACAGTATGTTGCCCACAAGGCTTAAAATATTTACTATCAAGTGGCTCTTGGATCATAAAAGATTTTGCCTTGTGATTTTTAAATATGGATAATTAAAATTTGGTGGTCACAATAGGTACCTCTTGAATTAGATTTAACCCCATTTAAAAGGTAGCTAGCTAGCTAGGTGGCATATTGGGGCACTTTACCCCCAACCCTTTATTTTGAAAAATTTCGGGGGGGGGGGGGTAGGTGGGGCTTTCCTTAATTTATCTTCATGTCCAGTGAGCAGTGTTGTGTCTTTCCTTGTAGTATTTGGAAATGATTTACTGGAATTACAAAACCTATTTTTCTTTTAAATTTCAGCTTTGGCTCTGGCTGCTTTTTAGAATAATGCAAGATAAAATCATACCTGAGGGCTAAAAAAGAAGAGGGAATGGGAGACTTGATATTTAAGCAGCTTGAATGGTTTCTTTTCTTTTCTTTATTTTTAAAGAAATGCACTTGCCTATGATACTGTCTCTCCAGTGAAATGATTACTCCATTACTCTATTGATACAATATTGTGCATGCTAGTGTTGTATTTCTATACAGTAGCTTGAAATTTATTAACTTATACTGTAGGTGTTATGTATTCCTATGACAAAAAATTAAGTCTTCAAATTTTTTAAAGTTTTTTTAATTTAATTTTTCCTTTTGGGAGTCAAGTTTGCTCTACCAAATAGTGATTGTAACAAATTGATCTGTATTGGATGTTGCTATAGTGACATGCAGTTATATATTTTGTTTTTAAGCGGGGGTGGGGGGGGAGCAAAAGAAACACCAGTGTTAGCTTAATCTTAATGTCTGGTGTTTGTCATGGTGAAATTATAACTATTACAGTGTAGGAGAACTGTGACTATGTTCTCTGAATGAGCCTTTGTGCTTTTTGTCATGTTATGCAGTGAACTATTTTTAAGGTCTAATCAGTGATTATTTTTCCAACTCCGTGTTTCTCTAAGGAATTATTTCACACACGGACCATTCTTAGCAGTTTTCCTCAGTGATGGAATATCATGAATGTGAGTCATTATGTAGCTGTCGTACATTGAGCAAATAAACTTACAGATCTGATGTCAGTGCTGCATAGTTTTATTTAATACGTTTAATTTTTTCTTTGTTTTTGAAGGTTTGATTGAACGTGGGTGTTCTTTCCCCCTCCCCCATTCAAAGAATGAGGTTGGATTGCGGGAAATGGGGCAAGGCAGTATATATTGGAAAACGCCTCTATCCGAGACTCGGGCCTGGGTTTACTGACCTTGAAAAATCATTGCACCTTTTGGGCCTTCATTGTTTCTCTTACAAAATGAGTGCCTTCTACTAGATCTTTGAAGGTAGGGAACAATTTGTGAGAAATGCAAAGACCTTAGTTTGAACAATGGCTTGTTTAGATCTTTGGGCAGATTACTAAATTTCTGAGCCTTGGATTGGGGGGGTATAGGTCTAATGGGGTCATGTGCCTGGTAGTCGGTATTCTTGGAGATCTCATTATGTGTTAAAGTGGTTCTTTGCACTTAACAAATGTTTATAAATATACTGTTGGGTTTTTGAGTCCTTCTGAGGTGGTCAGCATCCTTAGTTGGTGTGGGCCGAGCTCTCAACAGCCTGCTGTTGCTGGTGGCAGCTATCAGGATGTGTCCACCGCCTGAACCACATCCATAGCATGGATGTTCTGCCCTGACCAGCTGTGAGGGGCTGATCTATAGGAAGGAATGCCAGGGCCAAGACTTTCCTCCTTCAGCCTGGGCAAGGTGGGATGTGTGTGTGTGTGTGTGTGTGTGTGTGTGTGTGTGTGTGTGTGTGTGTGTGTGTGTGTGTGAAGGTGGGCGGGCACTGATCACACAGTGGAAGAAGATGGCTTTTTAATTTTTTGAGAGGTTTTAATTGATATTTGAGGAATAATACTATGTGTGACTAGGTATTTGCCTATGTACTGAATGAATTCACCTATGTTGGCTCAGTCATCACTCAGAACCACCCTGAGAATGCCACTTCAAGTATAGCTATCGTGGAAACACAAGTGAGGGATATGTCTAAGATCCTGCAGCTCACTGATAAACCCACATCGGAGCCCCAGCCTTCGGCTCTCCTGAGCTTTGCCTCCTAACACCAGGTTATTTCTGCTCAGCTAAGAGACTAAGACTGAGAAGCAGCCAACATTCAGTGGCATTGACTGAGCTCTTTAATGTGGGAGTTACTTAGGGTAGAGAGGCAAATCTGATGCCTTGCTAGCAGGACGCTGCAGATACTGGTGAGAGCAGAACCAGGTGAGCATATTGCAAATAGCAGACTTGCCAAGGCTCGTCAGAAACCGCTACACTCCTACCCTGTTCCTTTGGTGTAGCTTCCCATTCCAAGTGCCTGGAATTTGACTGGATTTTGCCCAGATTTCCACCGACATTTAAATTTCTTGAGATAAAATGCTGTCTGTTGCTGCATTTCTATCCAGTTTTTAAAGTTCTTTAATGCAGCAGTTTTCAGACTTTTGCATCTTAGGACCCCTTTACACAACTCTTAAGAGCTTTCGTTTACGTGGGGTATATCAAAACTAGAAAATACTCATTTACTTAAAAATAATGAAAACCCATTACATGTTAAGGTAAATAACAATGTCATGAGCAGTAATTGTTTTCCAAAACAAAAAATAGAACAGTAGCACTGTTTTATAATTTTGCTGATCTCTTAGTAGATAAGCTCAGCTGCGTCTGCATTCAATCTATTATGATAAGGTTGTTTAGGTTGAAGTATTTGAAAAAATCTGGCATCACACTGATTAAGTAGCTAGAAAAGGATGGCCCTACAGAGTTGAGGTTAAGAAAGCTGTAATCCAGGAATTGTACTTAGTGTGAAGCAATTAAATAAAGGTGATGAGGGAGGGCAGGAGAGTAATTATAAAGGAGTAAATAATCCACCCTGCTGGGGCATCCACAGAGCACAGTTCTCCAATCCTAGAACTTTGTGGATGCAGTGGAGGGGAGGGGTCATCAAATGAGATTTAGTGGCGGGACCTTTTTAGTGTAGCTGGTAAGTTGCTTGCAGTTCAGTGTGATTGGTTTTCCTCCACTCTATTTCTGTGTCATTACCACATGCACTGGCCTCAGCGCTGGTCAGCTGAAACTGCATGTTGACTCACTGGCTGATCCGAGTGGCTAAGAACGGCAGCTCCCTCCTGGGTGCCCAGTTCTCAAAGCAAGCTTGGAGAAACAATCTTCTGGAGACTAGCTGGGTAACACTGTTCTCTAGTTCTAGGAGTTGACACTAAGTGGTCACCAGCCTAATGAAAGTATTAAAATATGGGATAGCGGCTTGCTAATTAGCCTGCTGGTTTGAATTTTCCAGTTCTGATATGATAAGGATAAACCTGAATTCCACAAACCCTACCTCTCCCCATAGATAAGCTGTGGTCAGTGAGGAGTTGGGGCAAGAGTGGCTGGGTTACCCTGACTGAGTCCTCAGTACCTGGCCACAGGAATGTTGGTATCTCATCTTCATACTTAATCTACACCTTGGAAGACAAAATGGATCAGAATTTCCCAATTTAAATAATATTCTGAAATGGCACTTAATTATCCATACTATGGGAAAGTCAACAGGAATTATTTTGTGGAACATTATGATTTTTTTGGTTTTTATTTGAATAGGTAGTACATGCACGTTAATACAAAAGGGTGTAGTCTAAAACAGGTTTTTGTATTGCTTTCGAGCTACATTCCCCCCCCCCTCCCCCATGCGGGAGTCAAACCAGCAACCTTGCTGTTAGGAGCGTATGCTCTATCCACTGAGCCATCCGGGCGGCAGCTCAGCTCAAGGTGCCAAGTTTAGTCCCAGCTGTGGAAGGGCGTAGCCCACCATCGAACAGGCAATCTTGTCATTAGGAGCAGGTGCTCTCACCAGCTGAGCCATCCTGCCACCTGTTGGCAGCTCAGCTCAGGCAAAGCTCACTGGCCCATGTGGGAATCGAACCAGCAACCCTGTTGTTCAGAGCTTGTGCTCTTAAGCAAACTCTTAGCCAACTGAGCCACTCGGCCGGCCCCCTCGAGCTACATTTTTAATGGGTTGTCAAGTAAAAGTGCAGAGAGACAGTATGTTGCCCACAAGGCTTAAAATATTTACTATCAAGTGGCTCTTGGATCATAAAAGATTTTGCCTTGTGATTTTTAAATATGGATAATTAAAATTTGGTGGTCACAATAGGTACCTCTTGAATTAGATTTAACCCCATTTAAAAGGTAGCTAGCTAGCTAGGTGGCATATTGGGGCACTTTACCCCCAACCCTTTATTTTGAAAAATTTCAAAGACAAAAGGTAAAAAGAACGGCACAGTCATAACCAAATAACAGTACCTACTACTTGATATGACAGTTAACATTTTGTCATATTTGCTTTATATTTCTGTCTTGTGGAACCTTGAAAGTAATGACATTTTAC